TTCGACTCCACGGAGTGCCCGTTACAATCGTATCTGACAGAGATCCCAGATTCGTCAGTTGATTCTGGCACAGTTTACATGAGGCGATGGGCACGAAGTTAGAGTTCAGTTCAGCCTACCATCCGGAGATAGATGGTCAGTCCGAACGGACTATTCAGACGCTTGAGGATATGCTTCGCGCTTTGGTTGTTGACAGGGGTGCTAAGTGGGAGTCATTGTTGTCGTACGTTGAGTTTGCGTATAACAACAGCTATCATTCTTCCATTCAGATGGCTCCTTACGAGGCACTTTACGGTCGCAAATGTCGTTCCCCTCTTTATTGGGACGACGTCGGAGAGCGATGAGTACTCGGTCCTAAGTTGATCGAGGAGACAGCAGATCAGGTCGAGTTGATCCGGCAGAGACTTAGGACAGCTCAGATTCGACAGAAATCTTCAGCCGATCATCATCGACGAGATATTCAGTTCGAGGTTGGCGAGCCAGCTTTCCTCAGAGTTCGTCCGATTCGCGGAGTTGTGCGATTCGGAAAGAGAGGGAAGCTGCACCCTCGATTCATCGGTCCGTTCGAGGTTCTCGAGCGAGTAGGCGAGGTCGCGTATTGATTAGCCCTACCTCTCGAGTTACCAGGCGTTCATAATGTTTTCCACGCATCCATGTTGCGCAAATACGTGTACGACCCCGATCATGTCATTCCTCATTCGGATATTCAGGTTCAGCCAGATCTTTCGTACGAGAAGCGACCGGTAGCTGTACTAGACCGTCAGGTCCGTCGGCTCCAGAAGCGAGATGTTCCCCTCGTGCGTATTCAGTGGGATCGCCACGGAGCTACTTGGGAGGCGGAGTCCGATATTCGCGCTCGTTTTCCAGATTTTCAGTTTTGATGTACATATTTTCTTATCCTATGTACATAGTTCTTGTATTATCGGTTATGCTTTGAATTTCCGAGGACAGAAATTTTGTAAGGAGGGAGGATTGTAATATCCCGTTATTTTATTAGTATAAATTATGTTTTAGTTCCGATATAATAATGTTATCGATTATTATTTTCGGAATTAATTATTTTCAGTCAAAAATTATTTTTGACGTACCGTTTACGTTCGGAATAATTTTGGTAATTAAGCATTATGTTTAATTAAATAATTAAACATAAGTAGGTGATTAATTTAACATTAATCACATATTAATGGAGCTAAAAGCCGAAGCTTATATTCCAATTATTCTAATAAGCCGTACGGAATTTTTGGTCATGTATTGTCCCAAATTTTGGAAGTCAATTTCCTACGCATGAAGGAAGTAATTTCCTCCCAAATTTTTTTAGCTTCAAACGTGTCCAATTGGGAGAGCAATGAGGGGGATTAGTCATCCCTAATGTCCCTATTAGTATCCAAGTGTCAAGGTTAGATGAAGCCACAAATCCTCTACATCATCACCCTTCATGTTCGGCCCTATTTATTTGTGGTGTTTGGGAAATTTTTCCCAAACTTTGCAGCCCTATAATCGTACCTTATAAGCTATTAGGTCCAACAAGAGATAGTGGAGCATTTTGCCATCATCTTCCAAATTAAGTTGCTTCTTTCGGTTAGTACATATATGAGTGTTTGGTCCGATAAATTCCCATCCCTTTATATCATATACACGTCTTCAAAATTCTGAAGTTAAAGAGTGGGAGAGTTAGTGAATTATTAATAAGTTCTTGAGTACTGAAGGCACGACAAGTAGCAGCATCCATACGGCAAAGCATCGCACGGCAAGCTACCGCACACAGCACGCGCACGCAAGGTCATAGTCAGGTTGCGAATTCCGTTGAACACTTGAGGAGGTAAAGCCATCCTCAACTCATTTTCATGTCAATAAGTTCATTTTAGGTTGTAGTGTTCGATTCATGTTCAAGAATTCATAGCTATGCCATGTTAAGGTTTGGTTATGCCTAGTTAAGTCGTGATCGAGTAACTTCTCGTTTTATTCGGCAACTCATGAACAGTTCACATTCATGAAATGGCTCAAAGCCGTCGCCAGCGCTCATCGCGCATGGCCACGGGCCGCCCCAAGTCATGCTAGGTTAGCTTCGGTTATGGTCAAGATTGTCCGTGTGATTTATGTCTTGATAGCCTTAAAATGATGTTTCATGTTTAATTGGTCTTGAGTTG